TATCCAAATTATTTCGTTACTCCCACCGACGCAGCCCCAAACAGTTTCTTTCGAAACTATCAGCCTTTATTTGCATGTAGTTTGGTTGGTTAGTCAAGTACCATGCATCCCATTCAACTGATGTAAAGTTTTCTAGTTTGGCAGGACGTTTGGGATACTTATCCAATAATTCATTGGCATTTATTTCCTCACTATTATGTCCCATTCCTTGATATCATTCAAACATTTCAATTTTATTGTAAAAAGCAAATGGACCACAAGTTTCCATTGTCTATAACTTAATTGATCATAGAAATGACGCATTACTCAATAGTTGTTTGTCGAACCGTAATACACAACACCCCTCTAGGTTGTTAGGAATAATATCTGCTTACTCTAACTTTGAGGTTGAACGTTGCAACATCGTTTGGACCAAAGAAGATTTAAATCCATCGTATCCTTCGAGTGTAAGAAATATAGTTTGGAAGTGCAATTTTCAATCAATTTTGCGGTTTCATCCCTGGAATCTCATGTGAATGCACTTAAGCCCTGCGGATTAGAAGGGAGCCAAAACTACCTTGTCTTTTTTCATAACTTTTTGAAGCTAACTATTTGTAAGAGGTTTTAAAGAGAGTCCTTTTTGTATGTTCCCTCCTTTCAATCTCAGCTCAGTAAATAGTGGCATTTAAATAAAGGCTTAGCTTACTACTGTTCACTTGAGTTGAACAGAAAGAGATAAATGAGGTATTGGTTTCATGAGCTGAATCGGTTTTTGCGAGCGCAGTCTTTAAAGCGCATCATGCAATTGCTAGTTGAAATCTTCGATTTTGTTCTTGTACTTTCTCGTTTAATAGTAGTCCTTACGTATCTAGCAAACTTGGGGTAACCTTGACATTCCACAATTAACAAAAAAATTGCCTTTAGACAAGTAACCTTTTCTCTTGTGAATGATTTTGAGACATAATCAAACCGTGTACCGCCCCTATTTAAATACTTTCCAAGAACGCGTACAAAATGTAAATGTTAGTATGACAATCAGCTCCGTTTGGAGCACCTGAATTTATGCACTGCCCTCAGTAAATATTTTTCCCGCACCTTTTGTCTGATGGAATCTCTAGCTGTTACAAAAACGTATTCTTTTCACAATGTGAACAAGAAACACTCACAATGCTTAGTTAATATCTTTTATCCTCTCCTTTCAGTTAAACAAGAAATTTCTACGTGCGGGGAAATTGGCAAATGGAAACTAATCCAACCTGCGTCTGACTCTTTTTTCCCGAACAATGCTCGGTTTGACCCAGCCTCAGGCAAGTTCAAGGCTGAAAAAGATGGCCTTTACCTTGTCAGTGCAGTGATTTTAATACGACATTCAGGATCATCTCAAATCAGAATGGCCATTGTAGAAGATGAACAGTCCATTAATGTAACAACGTTTCAGTCAAATTCTGTAAATTTCAATAGTGGGGACCATGTCAGCACGTTGACGCTATCCAGTCCAGCACGCCTTTCAGCAAATCAGAAAGTCTCAATCTTCATCCACTTACTTGGCCAGAACAGTTTTCTGTGTAAAGTACTACCAAATAGTAGTTTTTCCGCTGTTTTAGTTTCTCGATGGGAAAGTAATTATGCTGCCGGATTTTTGACAACCGCATTCTATGATTCAGAAGTGCGAGGGGGATATAATGAAATCGAAGACTGGAAATCTGTGTCGTCAGTTTCCAAAAAGTACAAAATAGAACCTTTCACTCCAATATATATCAAGAGCAGTGGCCTATATTTTGTGCAAATTGTCTTTATTGTAAGTGATCGGAAGGGTTACAAGGATTTTGAGAGTGGAATTTGTATCAATGGGATGATTGCTTATAATGGCATCTCGGCATCAAAAGTAAGTGCACAGAAGCATGAAGAATTTGTCATTAGTGCATTTGGAGTGTTATTCCTGAGAAAAAAACAAAAAATTAGCCCATGCATAAAATCTAAGAACAGTTTAGATTTCGCTACCAAAAGAAATTCTTGGTTTTCAATTGTTCGATTTCTTCCGCGTCGTCAAACTCCAGGTTTTCATCAAATTCTCGAGGATGGCCATAATAAAAAAGCGATCCCAGGATGCTCGGTGACAGGATTTATGTCAACAGGTGGAGGCCAACTGGCCTACGTAAATGGCGACGTATACAAATCAAATCCGACATCACCGAATGACGAAAGAAACTTTACTGCACCTGTAAACGGTACTTACTTGATATCACTTCTGATCACCTTATATGGAAACATCACTGAAAATGTCACTGCGTGTATTGGAAATCAAACGTCTGTAGGGTGTCTCGTTGAAATTTCTGATAGTTGGAGAAAAACCAGCTACACCTTTGGGTTTGTTGGACTGCTTAACCTCGGCAAGAACGAGATAATTTCAATCTGTCTTCAGACTACAGATGAGGCATCGTCTTTGATAGGAGTCACGAAATCCGTTGAATTTCGAGGTGGAGTCAGCACAACTGTTCAACTAAAACATAACTCCAAATGGTTAAGTTCCACTGGATGGCAAGAGTTATCTCGGTGGAAAACTCGTGGTGGACAGTCCGTGGATAAACTTTACGTAACGGAAAGTGGGCTTTATATTCTCTCCATTAATTTGCAGTTAAGAGCAGGCGAAGGACACCTCCTGGGTGTAAAGTTAGAAGCTAGAGGATTATCGAACCGCAGTGTTCTATCTGTTTCAGCAAACTCCGAACGAGATGCTATGATGTCATATAGCGCTGCTGTCGTTGCTCGTCTGAATGAATCAGAAACGTTAACTGTTTCTGTTTACTCCGATTCGCAGTCATTACTTGTACCAAACACCACAATGTATGCTGCATTGGTGACTAAAAAAGACAATCACTCCTGCTTAACATTACGATCAAAAACAAGCCATTACACAAGTGGAACATGGTGGAAAGCTATCGGGGACTGGGAAAACTTTGACGCAAACTGCACGCCTTCCGACTCAGATTTCAGAAAAGGAATATTTGTTGCTGAATTACCAGGTATTTACTTCCTGGCAACTACAGTTTTGGTAAAGACGTCACATTCATCAAATCAAACAAGGTAAAATGATCTTTTCACTAGTTTCTCGTGTGTTTTCAGGCACACATTTTTGCCGCTTAATCGAATATCATTTTCTGTGCGCATTTCTTCAAAGCAGCCATGAAAAAAAGTAGGCCGTGGTACTGTTACGTTCAGTCTGTAAATGATCCCAAAATTGAAACGCAAGAGATTCCGGACTGAAAACGATCTCAGAGGAGGACTGCAAATAATCCCACTAAAAAATCAGTGACATCTTGACAAAACTCAAAGGCCATTGGCAAACTCAACAGTTAACTTTTAACTTAGACACTTGCGGCAGTTAGCTGACCTTTTTAACCATGTTTGGTTTATCCATAGTGCTATCATATCAATACAAATAGGTTTTACCTCAACAAAATCTCTTTCTTTGTACGTATAGATAATTTAATTCTGCGTACGATGCGTAATAGATTAGCTATTTGTAAAACTTCAGAAAAATACCCCTGCCATTCCACACATTTTATAACTTGAGCATTTGCGATTCAATTTAGTGATCATTTGTGATCCGGAATCATGCAGAGCAGTACTATTTACCCTTTAGCTGTCAGTAGACTGGACATTCTACGATTTCTGAAGGCCTTGTCCACATGTAGCCGAGTATCCTTGACAACGTTGTTAATTATTATCATTTTTTTATTTCTTCCATCCTTTTGTCATTGCGATCCTCGCAGTAATGAACCCCACTTATGTGGTTGTGGAAATAAGGCCTGAAAAAAAAAAAACATCAGGCCCGTACGGGATTTGAACCCATGACCTTTGCAATACCAGTGCGTGCTCTGCCAACTGAGCTAACAAGCGAGGATTTTAATATATTCAATTTAATTGATTTATCCCTTCGACGGGTTTAATACGAACCATCATAATGACCAACTCCCAGTTGGCTTGTTAGCTCAGTTGGTATAGTACTGCACCGGTATCGCATAGGTCATGGGTTCACATCCCGTATAGGCCTAATTTTTTTCCCTACATAAGTAGGGTAAATTACTGTAAGGATCGCTTTCATACATTTCAGGGAAAACCGCAGTATAAGTATATGATTTTCATATACTCAAATTCATTAATAAATAAAACTTTTTTGCATTCTTTTCTTTTCATTCAAGAATTATTGAACTTCTGCTTTCCGTCAATGGGGACGCGATGAACACCAATGGATTAAAAGCTATCAGAGGTGTGACTGATGGTTTGTCAGTGGTGCTAAGTTTATCTGCTACTGCTTATCTTGAGCAGTGGCAAACCTTGTATTTGATGATTAGAAGCAGTGGCGAGGGTGATTTTGAAGTAACCAACGGAAGTACATTTAGCGTGGTACTGTTAGGTAAGATAGCGTCCTTAAATGTCACGTTATTTTACTTTAAGGGTACCCGGTTCCTAAAGTTAAAAAAAAAAGACGTCTCAATAATGACTTAAAATTGATTTGTAATTGATTTGCTTCAAGTTTTATCGCCGATCGTTATTCTTCGCCCTCAGTAACCTATAGTTACCATTCACCAGTGGAATTCAAACATGAATTCGATATTGCCATTATCTGTGATAGAGGTTGAAAAGATTTCTTTCATGAAATGACTCAAAAAGTGCTGAAATGTACACTAACTAGCCTCCAATGGAATCGAAGAACTGTCTTAATATCATTCGTAATTGTAGTACTAGTACTAGTAGTAGTAGTAGTAGTAGTAGTAGTAGTAATAGAAGACGCATTAGTAATAGTCGAAATAGCAGTAGTAGTAGTAGTAGTAGTAGTAGTAGTAGTAACAGTAGTAGCAGAAGTAATAGCGCTAGCAATAGCAGTAGTACCAGCAGTAATAGTAGAAGTAGTAACGGTAGCAGTAATAGTAGTAGTTCAAGTTGTACTAATATCACGCACTACAATGTACTGAGACTACAATCTGACGATCAACCAATCCACAACCGCTACCGACAGAGGACATTATGGACTTATTGAACCTTTGCCTAAAGTCAACTTAATTTCAGCATAGCGGTAAACACTACAAACAGTTAAATGGTAAAGCTGTGAGGCCTCTAACGGTTTTTTTTCTAGTAGAAGCTGTGATGCAGAACATCAAGGAACGCGCCCTTTCGACTTGCCGACGAGCTATACCGCTTTAGCTAATCTAGACTGACAATGCATTTACCGTCGTACGACGGACGAAATCAACGCATTCCACCTTAACGGACGAAACACCGACACTGAGTTTACCAGAGTGGTCGGAGAAAATGGTAAATCTCCTTTTCTAGACTGCGTAGTAAGCCGTGACGACAACTCAATTCGAGCAACAGTTAGCTGGAAACCGACGCATACTGAAAGATTGTTAGATGAGTGATCCTACATCCTGACATCACACAGAGTCACCGCTACCAGCTCTCTAACACGACAAGTGCAACGAGTATGCGACAGACAGCTTATCCGACGAGAACAAATACCTTAACCGTTATTTTTTCAAAAAACAGCTACTACGGGCAATAAATAAGCGGACAACATACACAACTGCAAAGGAACTCGTCACAATGAGCGTGCTACTAATGACCTAATAATAATATGCGAAATTGAGTTTGTTAGTCATTTGCAGCTTTGAACCCGTAACTGCTCAATGTATGTCTAAGTATTAAAATAAGCTTTTTTAACCTAAACTCCTCGTTACATGTACAGTAGTAGTAGTGTTAGTTGTAGTAACAGCAATAGCAGCAGTTGTAGTGGAAGTAGTAGTTGCAGTAGTACTAGTAATATTGGTAGCCATTAGAAGTAGTAGCACTGCTATTAAAGTCAATAGTAGTCTAATAGCAGTAGTAGCAGGAGTAGTGGTATTAGTATTAATAACAGTGGTAGCAGTCGTAGAATAGACAGTTGTAGCAGTAATAGGAGTAGAAATATCAGTACACAGCAGTAGCAGTGTTAAAATGACTGATTACAAAAACTGCGGAAAGTGTTCAAGAACTTGTAACAAAAACAATTACATAAGAGCTTTTGTTCTTGTCGCCCAACGTATGTGACCTGGTGACATTTGTTTGTCGAATAATCTTGTCCACAATTAATAGTCATTGTATAGTGTTATAGTTCAGTAGCAGTGTGTTTTAGAGAACCGTTCCGAAGGATCTCGATATTACTCTAGTGTTTAATTGTTGGTGTATCGTCCGACCAAGCAGTATATCATTGCAGCAGTAGTAGAGTTGTAGCGGTAGTAGTAGTAGTAGTATTAGTAGTGGAGGAAGCATTAGTAGTAGAAACAGTAGAATTATTAGTAACAGTAGTAGAACAAGAAGAAGTAGCAGAAGGAGTTGCAGTGGTAACGTAGTAATAAGAGTCGTAGCAATAGTAGAAGTAGCAGTAGTAGTAATAGTAGTAGCAGGAGCAGTCGTAGTAGCACTGGTAGTAGTATTAACAGTAGTAGCAGTAGTGGTAGTAGTAGTAGTAGTAGTAGTAATAGTAGTAGTAGTAGTAGTAGCAGCAGCAGCAGCAGCAGCAGCAGCAGCAGCAGCAGTAGTAGTAGTAGTAGTAGTAGTAGTAGTAGTAGTAGTAGTAGCGTTCGTTATAATGCCAGTAGTAGTAGCAGTTGTCATGTATATAAGTAGTAGTAGAGTAGTAGTAGTAGAAATAGTAGCAGCAATAATGACAGTAGTTGTAGTACTAAAAGTTGTATTTGTAGTGGTAGTAGCACCAGCAACAGTGATAGTAGTAGTAACAGTATTAGATGTTGTAAAACCTAACTTTATTAGGTGTTTCCATTCAGATTACAGCGTACATTAGTAAAAGGATAATGTAGTTTTTTAAGTAGGAATGGCTATCAACTCAACCTTAAAAGTTGAACCTGCTTTATAAGGATGCTGTTTACGAACATTATACTAAAACACTTGAAAATCCCAGTTTGGAAGTTAGTTTTGAATTTAATATGCACATGTATCATCCTTGTCTTGTATATTATAGAGGAGACAAGGCAGTACAAGACAATAGCAAACAACATTACTCAGTTTGACAAAGGCCCACGAATAATACATCATCCACCATCGAAAGCGAGAAGTCTCGGCGGCGATCTGGGATTAAATGTTTCCTGGAGATGTGATGCATTTGCTAAGGGGGAAGTGTCATATCAGTGGCTAAAGAATAACCAGGTACATGTAATGCACCAAAGAATTGACAACAAAGTGTAAAAGAAATTGAACTAATTTAAAACCTATTACGTAAGAGTTTGAATATCAACATAACAAGAAAAGATTCCATACCCATGTAGTCTGGGTATATATTTATGAAGTGTTTTTTTTATTATTTTGTTTTCCTCGTGATGTCATCACTTTGCGATATCGATCACGACGTTTCTACTGCGTGCAAATGAAATACACTTCGTTACTAATTTCTTTCTTCCTTTCTTTCTTTCCAAATAATTTTTGGGACAATTTCTAGCCTGTCGAAGCCTCCCAAGATCTTTCAATTGTTAACGTGCAAGTATCACACTCAGGTCAATATGTATGTCAGGCGGAGTATGATGGCATCAAGGTGTATTCAACGCAAGCTGAACTTGATGTGTTCGGTACTATCAATATAAAATTAATCAATGTCATTATTTATTCACATGGACGCAGTTTATTTGTAGTTGTTATATGTTACATATCACATTCGTACAGAGTAATAATACCTTTAGAAATACTGTTAACGATCATGTTGAATATACAAAAATCCTTGTACTTAAAGAGTTACTCAAAACTGTACTGGGTACAATCTTACTCAAAGCTTTGAAAACTTGTATCGAAACCCTCAAACCCTAGAGACCCTCTTTTCAAACACATTCTTCAAAGGAGGTTCTTAGTACATCAATTATAGGGCTGCATGTTGGAAGCAAATATTCGGCGAACATTAGACATTTAATGAATGGTCCCGAGGGAGACAGTTTTGTTTTCCCGAGAGTCCCGACATCAGGACTCTCGCGAAAACAAAACTAACTAGTTTCCCGAGGGACCATACCTTAAGTGCTTTGTTCTATATTCAGACTTTTTCTCAAACAATCTCATGGCAAAAACATGCTGTTGTCTTCGACGCTCGGGCGATAACTGCGCAATTGTATCCCAGTCGGGATACATTTGAATTTGAACAGGAGCACGTAACCAAGAATGAACCAATCACAGTGCCCGTTTTGTTTAGTGAAAGTCAAGGCATACAACAATATCATTTTATCTCAGTCAGGCAGCATTACTGAGTTCCCTAATTCCTCTCGACCTCAGTTAGCCAAAGRGTTATTTTTAGGGTGAAAAAAGTGTTATTGCGAGACTAAAAAGCTTTCGAAAGCATTAGACCAAAACAATTTGTTCCTTTATTCATTTAGTTATTTACTTATTTTTTTACAGACACAACCCCACAGTCTGAGAATAGAGAGTTCAATTCTACAGAAAACAAAAATGCTTCATTCGAGCTTTCTTTCAGTGCTTTGGACAAGGAACGCAAGGATGCTTATGTGTCTCTCGTCATAGTAAAAGGTTGGTAAAGAAAACGGCAACTGCACTCCTAATTGCAAGGTTGTTGCATACCTTCCGACAGGACCGAACGGATAACTTTGAAAAGTTTTACCTCAAGGGATTTTTTCGAGTTAAGGTTACCGTGCACCTTTAGGGGTGTCTCGCGTGCAAGCGATGTAGCGCGTCCGGTTTAAACTGTAGATACCTAAACCCCCATATCAAACTAAAACTTATTGGACTGGCTATCAGACTATAGCAAAAATTTAAAAAAAAAATTAATTGTCGAAATTTTCACGACTTCTAAATGCGAGCGCCCGAATCACCTTTTGAACGTTACATGTTAAAGCGAATTTTGTTTTTCGCTTATTTAATGTGTTCCTCCGTTTCCGGGGCCAAAGCGCTAAAAAAAAGTGTCTGCGATTTGCCATATTCAATTTCAGTGAAAAGTTACAAGTAGTGTAGAAAGGCGGGTTCTGGTACAAAATCGTTAAATTATCGGACATCTACGTTAATTTAACGGAAAATCAGTTTACTCACGCTCACGAGTGCTCATGAGTCTGGGACAAAATCGTTAAATCAACAGGAATTCACGATAATTTAACGATTTTGTCCTTCACATCAAAAGTTTTTCAACTCACGACTCATGAGCTGAAAATTTCATTGACGAAAGTGTCTGTTTATAATAAAACATGGACGTTGAAAAATTCAGTCAAAATCTTGAAAAGGAACTGAGTGCTGAGCGTTTAAGACAGAATGTTAAGAACACATTGCAAGACATGAGTGATAAACGACAAGATATGCGGTTCGAAAGAGAGGAAATAATTTCAACCCATTGTTAGCAGGGTAAAAGAGGTGAAAGAAACAATCGACGACAGACAGGATAAAGTCATTGCGAAATTAACAGAAAATCAAAACGCATTAACCACAGGAATCCAAGCTCTTCAGATGCAGCCGACAACATCTGCACTTCCAACACCAGATTTACCACCAAGTCCCAAAAGCAAAATTGATTGAGATGCCAGATATTGATAAAAAATTTAGCGGGGATGAAATAAAAATTTTGGTGGAATATAACTTGGCTCCACCATCCACCATAAATGAGGAATTAATTAATAAAACGTTGAATTGGAGTGATTTTGACAAAAGTATCAGCAAACAGCTGCAAAAGCTCGGGGTAAAAAAGCTAGATTTTCAAAAAATAAAGAGAAAAATAAAAAAAAATCGAAAAAGTGGAGAATGACATCAAGCTGTTGCAAAAGTATCGCGATCGAACAAAGTTGTTGAACAAGGGTCAGGAACGTATTTTTGATGACAGTGACAGTGAGTTCTTCAGTGATGAAACCAGTGGCAGTGGTATTCGCCAGTCAAAAGGAAGAGGTAAAAGAAAAAATCACTTTCACGGTGGACAAATTTATTTTACATCTCCAGAGCAGTTGATGGAAAGGTTAACTTTGTTAACAGGAATTCGTCTTGCTGGCAACGCAAACATACAACTCCGAAATGAGTCTTGAGAAATTGTCGACCTCTTGTTGAAAAATGAAAAAATCTCGAGGAAACAAAACGATGCATATGTTAAAAAATTTTTGATGTGAAAAAAACATTTTATTTGTGATATACAAAATGAAGATAACAATTTTTATCGACTCAAGTGATGGTGTTTTAAATTCGAAAAGCCACGATTTTAATCCAGCATTAATTTGAATCCAATTCAATCCAGCATTAAATTTGGATAAAAACAAAAACTATGAGATTGCTCTCGACTCATTGTCGAGACATTGTCGACAGTTGGTACAATGTGAGCAGTAGCTTCAAGAATCACAAACTTTCCTATAGCAATGATGCAGGTAAAAAGTGGCATACTGTAACGCTTCCGAATGGCAATTTTTCATATGAAGAATTGAATGCATATGTAAAACGAGAACTCAAATCAAATGGTCATATACCACAAGAACGTGATTCAAACAGTCATCCAAAGAAAGGAATCACTATAGAATTTGTCCCATCACTATTCAAAGTGTTGATGACTCTGGAAACCAATTTTCAGGTGGACTTGAGAACTGGTGATTTTGGATACGGGCAGAACTTGCCAGATATAACAAGATCTGTAGACAATGTACTCATGCACACTGACATTATATCTGAAAGCGTTGTTTCAGTAGTCGCATCAGATGTTCTTTACCGATTCAGTGTGGACAATCTGCCATTGTCATTTCCATTTCATATCGTACCCCAGAGAGCCATGTTCAATAAAATCAAAACGAGCACTATAAGAGATTTGAGAATTTATTTTTCTGATGGGTTGGGAAGACCTTTGGATCTGAACAATACTCCAGTGTCGATGACATTAATTTTAAATGAAGAATATCCAGTGAAATCAGTTCGAGTAGTAGAGGAATGAAGTCTTTAGCGACATGAAAAATTATTTCTTTCATCACTTGAAACGAGTGATGAAACAATGAATAATTTTTTTATCGTGTATATTCAAAAATGCCAGATCAAAGACGTGAAAGAGATGAAAATGGTGAAAGTATCTATTATGGTACCTATGAAGGCGCAGGTGTATTTGATGTTGCGAAAAAAATAGTAACAAAAGTCACAGGTAAAACAGCGAAGAAGTTAGCAACGAAAGCGGCTAAAAAAGCTTTTGAAAAAGGTGCTGAAGAGGTTGGTAAGAAAACAGGACAAGTAATTGGAGAAAAAATCTATGAAAAATTCAGCACTAACAAAGTTAATGAAAATAAAGGGGATGAAATCGCCAAAATAGTGATGTCGATGAACTCAAAGAGCACACAAAATCAACCTTGAAAACAGTCAAAGACCACAAAGTCAACGCCAAAAAACTCTCTATCTAAACAGTTTGACGAATTGTTAACTTAACAAAAAAAAAAAAAAGAATTGAAGCATAACAAAATGTCATCATTTAGAAATTTTCTCCAAAAATACGATTATCAACAAGTGAATTTGAAAACACCGATAATTATCCCCGGAAACAATGCTTTTCAAACCAAAAGCGGCTATCAATTCAGCATTGATAACACAAGTGAGGAGGTACCGATAGATTAGTACAATGCCTATTTTGAGATCGACTTGAAAATCACGAAAATGGATAACACAACTTACGGTGCAGCTGATGCTGCTGCAATTATAAACGGTGAGTTTGGAATAATAGGACAGATGAAAGTTAACTTTGATGGTGTTAAAGTCCTTGACTTACAAGGCTCTAATTATGCTATCAATGCCAAAAAGCTCATAGACTTTTCAAAGGTTTACAGCAAAGAAGTTGGCCCGTCAATGTTTCATTACCCCGACACAGCTGCTGGGGCAGTTATTCAAAAGTATTAAACGATTACAGTTGACGGAAACGCAGGAGATATAATACCAACAGATAACGCTAATTACAATGACGGGTTTAAACAGAGGAAGGTACTTCTTGCTGGTGGTGCAACAAATAACATCATTCTTCCATTGAATCGTTTCGGCTTTTTTCAGTCATTCAAAAATCAAATTGCACCGAATGGGAAAGTCGATTTTCAAATACAATTAGAAAGTGACGATAATGTTCTGTTCAGAGCAGGAGCAGCTGCTGCTGGTAGATATATTATCGAAAAATTTGTTTTGTGGGTTCCAAAAATGGAATTCAATCCTGAAGGACGACAAATGTGGCTTGAAAAGTACCTCAAAACTCATACATGGTCTTACCTTAATGAGAGTATTGTAACCACAACAACTCAACTGCGAAAACACTTTTTCAATATCCCAAATAGTATCAGAAAACCAAGGCATGTCTTTGTCTGGGTTCTAATAATGCAAAGATGAATGACCCGGAACAAAATATGTTTGTTTTTGATACTTACAACATTCCAGGCGCTGCCGCAAGAACGATTACAAGTGCACGGTTGAATTTGGGCACTGGCACGTATTACCCACAAAATGCAATCGAACCAACTAATGAAATGTCAACAGTATGGAGGATGTTGACAGAATACAACAAGGGTTTCAATGATCAACTGTCTTGCCCAACTATAGATCTCAAGTCATTCAAGGATCTGTACGGTATTCTGTACTTTGATTTGACGAAACAGGCAGATTCGCTCAAGAATAACTCGACGAGTCTGGAATTTTCCTATGATCTCAGTGGTGCGGCCAATGCTCAATATATTGTGTATGCACCGGTACTCAACGAGGAAGAGATAAGTGTTGATGTGGGAAAAGGAAAGGCTTTCATAAGAACATAAAAAAAACAACTTTCACCTTTGTCAAAAAAAATTTGTTATCTATAATAAAACAATGAAAACTTATCATCCATATGGTGTGAAATTATTTGAAAATCAAAAACTGAAATTAGCGAAAGCTCTCGAGAAGAGATCACCTTTGACTATTCGCCTCTCACATAACGAACTGGACGGTCCCGATCAATTGGTGTTGACTAAAACTCAGATCAACAGAATTCGAAAAGCTAAAAGTTTGAAAAAAGGTGTTGACATCAAAATCAGTAAAACGCAGATCAGTAAAGTTGTTCAGGAAGGTGGGAGTTTGTTTTCATCACTTGTCAGCATGGGTGCAAAACTATTGTCAAAAGCAATGAATTTGGTTACAAAAGCTATGCCTGCATTAGCAACAGGTCCTACAACAAGTTTGGGAAATTTTGCAATGGATCAAATTCTCGGCTCTGGACAGGTAGGAGGTTTCCTCATTCCAAATTCTAAAATTCAACAACTTATTGATCATAAACATTTATTGACAGTTAAACAGAAGAGAGACATATTGAATGCTCTTCAATCTGGGGGAGAGTTAACGATAAAACCGACAGTGAAGCAACGTGGTGGTTTTCTCGGAACTTGATTGGCTTCTATGGGTGTTCCAATACTTTCGAACGCTTTGACCGGCTTCAAAACAGAAAAGCTTACGGTAAAAGTGCTGGTATGCAAAATAGACCGTACGTACCTTATTATCCACCTCTGGCTCCACCAGTACCAACGATCGGTATGGGTACAAAAAAAAAAAAGACGGGCAAAGGATTG